ACAGTAAAATTAGAAGTTTTGCAGTCTTGAAGCTGGAAAACCAGGTGTTTTTGCCTTCCTTCTGTTTTACTATGAAGTAACCTGCGACTTAGATTGGATGAGCTTGGAAGAACAAGGCTAAAATAATGTTGAATGTGAATGCCAGAAAAAATCAGCTCTGTATCCATTTGGATTCGTGTAAATATGTTGTTATATTCTGAACTATATTTTCACTTATCAGGCCCAACATAATCCCAAAATTACATATGGGTAAATGCTCAGGACTCGTGGTAGAGGCATGGGCGACTGGTGCCTCCTTAGTCAGGGGGGGCACGTGCCCCCCCCCCAGCGACTGGGGGATCCCCCGTGGCCGATCTCACTGACCAGCGGGTGGGTAGCCAATCTTGCTGTGGCCACTTCTGCACCACTTCCCAGACAGCACCTGCAGCAGGGGCACCGGCGCTCCCACCTGCCACCTCGGCTCATCATCTTAGTGGTGAGCATGGCCAGTTAGGGGGTGCACCAGTGCTCTCGGGGGTGCACATGCACCCCCGTGTACCTCCTGTGTGTCACCACTGGGTCGAGGTGATATCTTTTATTAGACCAACTAGATTTTTGCAAAGTAATTTCTTTAATTGCAAATCCTGAATGCTTTTTCCTCTAGACCAATACGGCTACAACCTGGATACCATTAAAATGAGCAAACATGTAGAGAGAACCTCAATATTTTTTTTTTGCTGAAAATCAGTTTTCTGTACAATCTAAAACAGTAATTCCTTTAGCTTCCTTACACTCCTGATAATTGAAACGTCCAGTTTGGAAGATAACGTAGTACAAAATAAAGTGGAATTTCCTATGGAATGATGATCATAACATTTTCTTATATTCGGATTGTGACAGTATAATTTTGGTCAGCTGAATTTACTTTCTGACAGCCACATCGCTAATTCTCGATGGAATTTGCCAAACGTATCTATTATATGAAGTTAGAGAAAAGATAAGACAGAATTGCAGGCCATCTCCAGCTGACGTGGTAATGAAACAACTTCTCATGAAATGAGAAAATAGCAAGGTGGTTGATCACAACTGCGTACTGCCTACACTTGACTCGGGAACCGGTTTTGGATGAC